TTTGGGCTGTTAATGATGTGCCAATTATTTTGCTAAGCCTTTCCAACAATTATTCTATTTGCAGAAGGTCCTGAAGCCAGAAAGTGGCAAGTCTAGGACTGAATCCAGTAGACCCTGGATCTAGTGACCTCTGAGATGGAGATTCAGGGCTGTAGGAACCACAGGACACCCAGATGTGGAGAAACTCCACATAGGACCCTGCCTACCACCTAATCTATCCCTCCACCCACCTCCCTTGGTGGGCACGGTTGCTGGCACAGAATCCCCTGCTGTCACCCTCATAAATACTATTTTAGTGGGAAGTGGGGTGGAAGGAATAGGGAGACAGCCACAACATATACATATGTAACAATCACAAAAAAGCACCTAAGTCATCATGATTTATTTGAATTGTGCATGCAGTGTGGGAAGCCTGGTTTTTTCCCTTTCTTTCCAGTAGAACTCTGATTTCCCACGCTAACCATAATGCTACAGTAGTATAAACATTTACATATCGTCAATTTAAACAATGCACAGACTCTGTTCCATTCATCGAATGTAAACGATCACAAAAGAGGCCAAGGCGGAACCGCTGTGAGAGCCGCAACATTTATTGAGGAACGAACATGTCTGCAAGGCTGCCCGGGCATACAACCCACGGCTCATAACGCTGTTCCAATGAGGCTTTTCCCAGCGCCTTCTCATGCAGTCCTTCTTTAAAACAATAACTGAAAGGGGAAAAAGTGTCACATGCAATTTCACTCACGAAACCCAACCTCCAGCTTCCACTCGGAATGACTGTGCCCGGCTACCCGGATGGACACGTGCTGGTGATTCGACACTGCGCATGCATTTCTGTGTGGGCAGCAACACTCAGTGAGCAATGGCTTTACTAACCCAGAAGGTCCCTCGGAACGTCATCCAGCTTGGGGAACAGGACAACTGCAATGAACAACAGAATTTCTAACGTTTGCCCCAATCAATAGACCACCTTGCCCTCAACACATGCAATACAGCATTTTATTTCTGGAATAAAAAGGGAAAACTGGTCCAAAAAAGGGTATGTTACAGAACACATTTAGAAAAGGCATTTGTCATCTTATATAATATTTAAAAGTTAACTTCCTTTTGTTCCAATGGAAGAAATGTTGATCAAATTGTCACACACACACACACACACACAAAAAAAAAATACCACCCAGCTCTTACTTTGAAATTTAACCTCCTGTTTTCCTCTAAAAGTTGTCTTTTAACAATAAAAAAGAAAACTTCATTTTCCAGAATTTAAACAATTTAAAAGAAAACATCTATTTTGATAAGTAAAAAAAGTTATGTTGTTCATTTTTCTAAACTACCATTCTTTTTTTTTTTTGCCTTTTAAGGAAATATCTAAGATATTGATCATAGAGTAGAGTTATTTGATTTTTTTTTCTCCTTAGACATTAATAATATAAAGCTGAATAGGATTCTAATAAAAGAATCTGAATAATATAAAACATCTGATGTAGGCATATCTAAGTGGTGATCACTGAGGCTACTGTGGGAGCAAAATCAGAAATTCTAAAAGAGAAAGAAAGCCTAGCTGATTTGCTTTTCTCTGCACGGTCTGTTTTGTGTCATTTAATTCAGCATTTACTATGGCTTTACTCTAAGCGCAAGTTGTCAGCTAAGCTCGTCTAAAATCCCCCTGGCCCTTGGTCTGAATGGAGAACTGGCCATTTAAGGTCGGACTCCAGCTCATGTCTTGTGTGTATCTCTGGATATTGTGTTCTACTCTTTACTCCTTGTTTGCTTGAAATTCGGAAGACTTCCACCTGCCTGGACATGGTATTCTGACACCTAGTTAAATATTACATGCACAAAATTATATAAACCAAATATTCTCAGCAAACATTTAATTTTCTTTAACCTGTCTTTGTGTTGTTCCTCAGTGCCCAGGCGAGGGATCTGTTTCCAGGCTCTTCGCAGAGCACAGTCTCGGTTTCCGGGCAGGTGCTTGCCAGGTACACCCGGTTTCTCTTTGCACAGAAAAGTCTGCTGACGGACCACATCTGCTTCAGATGTTGGCTGCATGGACCCCAGAAGCAGCTAGAGGGGAATGCCCCGTAGCACTCCTCATTTGTAAACCAAGTCATAAAACCACAGGAAACTGCACGTAGGCCACTCACTAATTTGCACGCCAAACTTACAAATCTAACGCTGTTGTAAAAAGAGGCAAAGCAGAGAAATACTTTCGTAATGCGTCTGTGTGACTGTTTCCCAGACTGGACAAGTGCTGGCCTTCTGAATGTGCTCCTCTCATTCCGTCAGTACACTGACTCCACTCCCACCGTCAGCAGCCACGATTGACCTTTTCTTCTATCCCTCCTGAAACAAAGCCAAGGGGCCTTCTTCAGGGGGCCCAGGCAGCAATAAGAACAGGTCAATTTATGCTTGCATTTTCTCGGCAGTTGTAAGGTAGTCTCCTCCACAGAAGAGGAAATAAAGAAGGTAACCAAGTACAAAAGGAAGGGAGAGACACTCAACTCCTACCACGCGCCATGTGCGGGCCGAGAACTGTGTGGGTACAGGTTGCGGGACTCCTAAGCCTCTTAGGAACGACAGGAGATATTTATTTTTTCCCATTTTACATACAAGCATTAAACACTGTGATGAGTTTAATAACTGTTCGAGATCATTCCCCATACTGTCTACAGCTTATGTTCTTAGATTCACCATAGACAAAAAAAAAAAAAAAAGCTATGAGCGTGATCTAGATTTTGAACTAAGATCTGAAAACATCCAAAGTAAAAACTCAATTCTGATTGTTCTTGTGGATTCGACGCCAGGTGCTGTGAATTTCTCTGGGCTGTGAGGGCAGCTAGTGTTTCTGCGAAGTCCTTTGGTAATCACGTTTTCCCTAGGCCAAGACATATTTTTTGTGAATAAAATCTTTCTCTCCTCCACCCTACAAACTTAATTTTAAAATGAAGTAAATTTTGCTGCAATCCTCCAAATTCCTCAGTTTCGTGAAGTAAAAGTCAGTAATGAATCTCTCTCGATGTTCTAGGAAAAAACAAATCAAGATAATCCTCTAGTTGTGATAACATTTGTCCCTCAGCTACTTCCTTTACGTTAAAAAGAAAAATTAAGGATATCATGAATGTTAGATAAAAGAAAAAAAATAACTCACTTTTCTTGAGAGTAATTATCGCCAGATACAATTCTACCTTCCTGCTTACTTAGTCGTCTTCCTCTAGCTTCAGCTAAAACGTCTTTAAAACCCATCAGCGGTTTCACCGTTGTAGAATGTGACTCTTCATTTAGGTAGAGGATTGTTATTTTCAAATTCCAATAGCAGACGCAGAGAAGACAAATTTGGCAAGATAATTAAAGATTGACATTACCCAAATAGAAAATAAAACTTAAAATGACCAAAAGAGTCCCATTTTTGGTTGCATTAGATTGCATCATAATGCCCACGGTGAAAATAATCGATTTTTCAGAAACTGGGTCCCTTTCTAGCAACAGTTCAACAAATGCATGTAAATGTACATCTGTGAACAAACCCGCCACAGGTGTTGCCCCTGGGAATGAGGTCTCGAACAGGAAGCGATTTATTATCATAATAAATTATTTCTGTAATCTATAGGCCCTCCCCCACACCTCTAGCTCACTTGAAAAAAAAAAAGACTAAAGTTGGCCATGGCCAGTTCGATTCCCAGGCAAGGGCACAAACCTAGGTTGCAGGTTCGATCCCTGGCCCTGGTGAGGGCATGTGCAGGAGCAACCAATTGATGTGTCTCACATTGAACTTTTTCTATTTCTCTCCCCCACCACCCTCCCTCCCTTGCGCTCTAAGAATCAACGGGAAGAAAATATATATTCAGGTGAGGATTAACAAAATAAACAAAAATGACTGAAGTTTTACTGGAATGTAATCCTTAGGAAACTACAAGCTATGCATAGTTTAAAGGAAAATGTGTACATGCTTTTAAAGCTTAATTTCCTTGAATTTGTATTTAAGAATGAGACTGAGTTTATCCAGTATCTAAATTAATCTCCAGAAGTAGCTATACCATGTAAACCTGAGATTTTGAAAGGAATATTGTGATAAAATAGCCCTCGGCGAGCTTACGGGCCTGCCCATCCTAGGGGACCAGTATGTACGCGCCAGGAAGACGTGAGTGCAGGTTTCTTTCCCTCAGTGTTCCCGACGCTGGAGCATCACCAGGCTGCTGCACACCTGCATCTCTTACATGCTGCCCAGTCGCACGGGAAGATTCTGCCGTACAGGACTGCTCAGCGACTCTCAGAAGCTGCCGGTTCCAGCTTGTTGCATGTCCCTGTCTGTTCTGAGGATCTCCTTTAAACTAAATTTTGGGTCCTATCAACATGGTTGCATTTTCTCAGCAGAAAAATAAAACTGCCAGTATCCAAAGGCAAAAACAATAGGGATCAGAATCATCTTAACATCCGTCTCCCACCTCATTCTATTCTCCTTGGCTGCGGCTAGACAGGGTTCTTAACTCCTACCTTCCTGCCCGAGACCTGAAGCCAGACACCGGGGCAGGGCAGGGGAAGGCACGCACTGGCCACGGCAGCACCCACGGAGTGAAGGGAACCAGCCATCAAGTCCAAGCTGGCCCCTGCTCAGTGTGCGCCAGAGCAAAACGGTCTAATTGGTCCTAACACTAAACTTCAGCCAGATTAAATCTTAATCTTAAAAGTTATAAAAAAATGTGCTTCCTTTGCTGATGTTCCTTAATTTGTCAGCTTTATAAATGTACCTACATATAAAATGACTATAAAGCACCTTAAAATAAGAACTCCCTCACCAAACTATTCTATATAGAATGATATAAAATATCTCAACCTATGAAAACACGATCCTATATAAAGTGAAATAAAAGTATGTTAAAATACAAAATTAAAGCTACTATTCTCAAGTTAAAAGTTCATTTAAAAATGACGTAATTACTAGCGAATGCCAGAAACCTGCTTTTTGTCTAGTATTTCACTTAAAATTAAACCCCCGAACCTTAGCCTACCTCATTTATTTTCATCAAGAACTCAGAGAATAGAGGGAAGAATCCTACAATATGCATAAGACTGTATCTCACAATGACGTGTCCTTTAAAAATGAGCTCGGTACTTCTTCACGTGTGATATTTCAGGGTCTCATTTCTAGCTATTGTAAGTTAGTTACCCAGTGTACTGATTATTCCAGAATTTTCCAAGCAAAAGTTAAGCTGATGAATGTTTCCAGGGTCACCATCCTTTTCCCTTTTTGAAAGAAGGTTCTAAATATGCCCTTTTCCAGTCGTCAGGCACCACCTCATCAGTCCTCCACGAGTTTCAAAAATGGTATCTAGCGGTTCTGTGATGACTTCGGCCAATTCATTAAGTACTCTAGGATGCCAGCCATGGGGACCTGTGGATGAACATAGGGGGGTTACTGAAGTTCTCCTTTACCCACTCTCCCCCTAGTTCAGATGGATTCCTGCTCCTGGTTTTAAGTCACAGTGGTCCCTGTCTGGTTACCACACGGACTTTTGTAAAAACAGCATTAAGTTTTGCTTTTTATCCATCAATTTTCTCTTTGAAGCTAATAAACAAAATATGTTAGTCTTTTCAAGTGTGTTCTTCTCCAGTTGTTTTCAAGAGGTCTATTTATTTTTCCTTTTCTGCTGCTTGTAAGACAAGATAGTAACACACAATTAAACAAACTTGTATATCTTGTAACAGTCTGCCTTCCTGAACCATCACCTCAATACTGTCCTTACTGGACTAACAGTCCCCACACTGTGGAAGGTTCTAAAGGCTACACAGAGGGTGTGTATCTATTCACTTGTATCTGCAAGTGCTAGTTCAAAATGCACCTTCCAAAATAAAACCGAATCGCCACCATCTTTCACCGTAAGCACGTGTATGCAGAAAGAGTAACGTTTTCACACACGTATTTAAAAAGTGGGGTTGTACCAGTGCTGGGAAGAGATTAATAAGGGTGTCTTACAAAGCAGTGACCTAGCAGAATTTAGTCGTTGTTGGGTGGTCATCTGCATCGATGTCCTGGGATTGATATTACACTAATTATCGCCAAGCTCTGATAGGTGTTGACAGTTTTAACCCCTTCATTGTCACAATGATTCCTCCAAAATCGCAAGATAGCAACAGCTTCCAGTTCCCTGTCCATCTGTCGCAGCTGTGCCCTGAGCCAAGACTCGGCTGGCAGGTCTAACACGGACAAGGAGAGGAAGAAAGGAGAGTGTGAAGGAAGAGATTTTGACAGGACAGGCAAATTGCGCTGATAGGATTCAACTGCTTACTTAGGTTTGGGGGTTTGATTTCCATTGGAAAAGCTCTTGGGAAGGGTGGAATCCATTTGCTTTCTTCTGTTTTGTTTTTCTAGTCTCTCTCTCTCCTACCTGCCCCAGTTTTATGTCTTACAAAAATAATTCATATCACCGGCATCATTACAAAGATTTAAACACACACACACACACACAATTGTACATGTTTCTCCAGGGTACAACAATTTGTTTGAGCACATGCCATTTTGCCCCTGCTCAGCCAGCCACCTGCTGATGGCAATATGTTAACTAATATGTCATCATTAATTAGATTGGGTAACATCATCCAGCTATTGCATCTATATGGAAAGTATCACTATCCATGCTCAGAAAGTTTCTTTCTCCAGATAATCAAGCTATTCTCAGGCCTTGTTCCCCCTGTAATACTAAGTAATAATAATTTATTAGTAAGTAATATATTCCAATAGTCCCTCCAAAAAACCACCTCCAAACCAATAACTCTATGAAAATCACCTCCTGTTACGAACGTTGAAAAAGTGTTGATCACTTTGTTTACTTGACAAAACTAACCTTTTTTTGAAGACAGTGAAGGCAAGTTCAGCTTAATATGAAGAAGGCAAAACTGGCTTTTAATGTTCTAATAATGAACAAATGAAAAGACATCACACCAACATCTATAATTACTCTAGAGTACAAGATACCTCGCTATTTCTATGAGAAAACAAAACCAAACTCAGAAAGAACCCAGGTTATAGCACTAGTGTGTACTAAGGACATGGCCAGGGCACCAAGCAAGGCGGCAGCATCTTCAGGACATGTTTTTAATATGTTTCCATTATTTTTTTTCCAAATTTTTTTCCATATGTTTCCAAATTTTTTTTTTTTTAGAGAGAGAGAGACAGAAACATCGATGTAAGAGAGAAACATCGACCAGCTGCCTCCTGCACGCCCTACACTGGGGATGGAGCCCACAGCCCGGGCATGTGCCCTGACCAGCGATCAATCCAGGACCTCTTAGTCCATGGGACCATAATCAGTCCACTGAGCCACACCCACCCGGTGAGGACATTCTTGTGAAAACAAACGATTCTCAGGCGTCACCAGGCTAGATACAGCTCTGCCTGAAGCCAGGAAGATGGCCTCACCTATCATTAAAGGTCTTTTCATTCCAGGAACCTACAAAAATAAAGAAGATGCCTGTGGACCGCTTACCTATCATCCAGCAAGTGCAGACACCCCCCACCTCCAACCCATCTAAAGGTGAGGACCACGGAGTCCTTCAGAAATCTAGCATCAAGCTCACGCCTCCGAAACCTGGTGTCCGCAGTTCAACAAAAACAAATCGCATTCATTCAACAAGCCCAGCCTTGCAAGGGACTGTTTCTCATTCTCCGGGGCACAGAGTGGGAGGCAGGCAGACGGGATCTCCACGGCTGGGCCATGGAGAGTTTCGGGGTGTGAGCACAGGCAGGGATCCCTGGCGAGCCGGCGCGGGCTGCTTCATGACCTTAGGGAGCGCTGCGAATTCCCGCGCCCAGCGCTCGCGCCCCGTGCTCCGGGAGCTCACAGCACTCAGACCCCGTTTCTATTCGAGTGGCATAGAAATGAGCAGATTTTAAAAATTCTGACCCACTTGAAGGAGATAACTGCTGAAAAGGAGTCTTCTGGGCACACAGGCTGCCAGCCCAGCCTCGTTTCGCACAGCTGCTCCCCCAGCACCCACTGTCCATGCCTCACTTTCCCCCTCACTGACTGGCACACTCCTGCAAAGAGAAACAGCTTTCGCCACGCCACCGAGGAAAACCATAATGTGCTTCTGTGTGTGGAGGGTCCTCTCTGCATGCAGTACAAGGCTGACTTGGGATCATGGAAGCAGTGACCTCGAATCCGGTCTTTTCTCAAGTTTCATGGAAGCCAACCTCTGGAACAATAAATAGCAAGTTCTATTTTTGGTTCTATTCATGCTCCTGAAGTTTTGCTCTTTTTATAGCCAGAGTTTGTAAAAAAATGAATGCCAGCAGTCTGTAATGTTATCTCCCTATTTCGAGGAAACATTACTGAAAGGTTTATACTCTAGTTGACCTAATTCTCCCCTTACCTGCCTTTCTGACCACTTGCAGGCACAGGGTTCTTACGAACGGCCACGCAAACCTAATTCTTGGGCTCGACTGCGTGCCTTTCTCAGACTAACTTGCTCTAGGCTGTTGTGGGGGATGGGAAGGGTGGGAGGAAAGCTGCTCATTTCATAGAGATTTGGCAACTCTCCTGACCTATGTTAGAGGAACAATCTGAGAAACAGGGAGGGGGCAGAAAATGTCATTTCATGAATAAAGAAACCATAATCCTATGGCTAAAAATGAAGATTTATGAGATTACATTTTTTTTTCTCCATTTAGTACTCTGATTTTTAACTGATTTCAAATCTGTTACTCTCTTTAGCTTGTGGTTTCCCCCTAATGAAAGACAATCAGAATTATATGCAGGCTAGCCCTTTGAGAAGTTATTACTCGATTGCGATATTATTGTAAGGATGTAGTTCCATTGCAGATTTAGGACCACATCTGGTTGCTGGGATAAAAAACTAAAACTGGTGACTATACATTAACAGTTCGTGCAATTTCTTTACAACTGAGGGGTCGGGGCAACCATCTCGTGGGAACAAGTTAATTAGGAATGACAGTACAAATGTTGCCTCTTCTCCTCCTGGATGGCAAAAGGGCCACAAAGCTGAACCTTTGGGCGCTTGGTGCCAGGACACAAGATGTCACCACCTCAATGCTTTCTCAAGCTAAGCTGACCAACCTTCAGCCACGACACACTGCCCATCGTGACGGGACCAAGGCAGGCTGGGACTCTGCTCAGGAAGAGGGGGCGTCTACACAGAGTCATTTAACTGTAAACTTCTCCAAGGGCTGAAACCACATTTTACACGTCTTTGTATCTCCTGTGGGAACATTATACATAATGTCACACACTACTGCTGCTGCTTGATTGAATTGTCCACGCTATCACTTTTACATGGAAGTTCTCAGTCAACTAAGTTCCTATTGGGACAGTTCAGTCAAGCAAGTCAGATAGCAGTATAAACTCCTTTGCCTATGCAACAGAGAAAAATGATCAATATATGTTCACTAAACCCATATGTGTCTTAATGGTCACCTTTCAGTTCTGCACAGGCCTCTGAGAGTCTCTTCTCAGCGGCTGCACTGGGAGGTCCAGGCTGCTGCCCAGACCCCCACAGGCAGGACCCCAGACACCGACAGCGAGCTCGCACGCAGGTCCTTTTTTCTGGCAGAGGAGCCTTAAGGGTATATTTCTTAGGGACGCTATAGACTAAAAATGTTCGATCTCCTCCAGAATAATATATATGTATATATTTTACTTTAAACACAAATACCCAAATGCTACACACACATTGTAGATCACCATCCTATCTTCATTCATGGCGTGTTCTTGGTAAATACTGATTTACTACCTCATTTCTGGAACATACTAAGTGGGTTTAATAAACAGCCCTGCTTCTCGCTACCTCCTTGCATCCCACATGGTTCCAATCTCCACTCGGGACTTACCTGCAGCTTTCCAGCAAATGCAGAGTACAGTGGAGGAGCTGGAAATTTCCCTACCTGCTTATTATTCAGGAAACTCTCAGAAACAAATTCATGGGTTCAAAGGTAGAAGCGCCTTTGTTTCTGTTATCCTCAGGGCATTTACCAATTTTATAATTTTTTCTAATGGAAGAGCTATGTAAATGCAATTTTTTTTTTAATCCTCACCAGAGGATATTTTTTCATTCACTCATTTCATTCATTTTTAGACAGAGTGGAAGAGAGGGAGAAAGAGAAACATTGATGTGAGAGACACATCAATTTGTTGCCTCCCACGTGGCCGGGGACCGAACCGCAACGGAGGTACATGCCCTTGACCTGAATCAAACCTGAGACTCCCGTGGACCGATGCTCCAACCGCTGGGCCAAACCGGCCAGGGCTAAATCCAATTTCGTAAAATCATTTTATTATAGTCATCACTGAATACTCTGAATAAGCTAAAACCCCCACGCAGGGCCTGTGGTCTGCAAGCGGTGGCAAGCTCCCGGAGACCCCTGTTCTCAGAGGCCAG